TTGTAAAAGGCACATTCCAGAAGGAGATGTGTGACAGTTTCTACACCCCTGCAGTCGCTTTGAGGCACAAAGAAACCAGGCATATCTGAAGGATCTCACAGGTAGTGCACTCCTTACCACCAGCCAAGCAATATCTTGGTGCTTGTTGGAAAGTTCTGGTGCTAAAGCATTCTGCCAAATGACTTTGTCAGTCTGCTCAGGGGACAGGATCTACCCTCTCCCTTTCCCTTTCCCTTTCCCTTTCCTTTTCCCACAAGTGTGCAGTCACCTGTAGGCCAGCACAGGTAAGGGATGGCAAATTCCCTTCCCCTAACGGATATTAGTGGATTTGATGGGTTCTTACAAGAATCCAGTTGTTTTAAGGCCACCATGACTGGCGACAGTTTCTCAGTACAGAGTTATTTAATCAACTTAATTCAATTTACAATAGCTGCCACGATGGGATTTATACTCATGTTGGTGGACCATTAAATCAGACTTTTAAATTACCAGCAATATACCCACTGTGCAAGCTACAGTCTGTGTGAATGATTTGCTAATGAGATGGTGATATAAAGCAGGCTGTAATAGTGGCATCTGCACTCAAAGGAAGGAGGCTGTTGTGATGAATATTCCTGGTATCACATTGTTATTTGGGGACATAGGTTGCAAAGTGGAGGATAAATGGACGTGCTTTCACTCTGATGTTTTTATAAAAAGTCAGAAAATTATTTTGAACTGTGACTTCATTTAAAAGTCTTCTTTTCATTTCCAAATGAAAAGCGAGCCACTTTGGAAGTTAATTGCTCAGGTTTTTGCAGTCTTCAGTTTTGCAACCCAAAAAGGGACAAAGAGAAGGCAACCAGAGAGATATTCATTCAGGCAGAAACAGGTTGATTCAGAGAGAAGAGCTCTTTTAACTGCAGCCTGCTGTTAATGACATTTCAAGCATATCAGGGGAAGGGGAAGAAAGCCAGAAACAGGAGGCCATGGAGATATCGAAGAGAAAGATCTTCTCAAAAGGCTGATGAAGGCATCAGGTTAAAGAACCCTTGTCAATAATTAAGTGAACTGAGTTAGCAGTTTGTTTAAGGGTCTCATCAACTGAAGAAAATAGCATCAAATGACTACAAAAATGTACTGAAAAGTTACTGATTGCAGCTGAACAAGGAGTTTTAGCATGGAGACCAGGAAAACCTTCATTTGAGGTTTGGGTGTCTGTACGGTTGATGTGAAGGTAAAACAATTGAATCCTTCTGATTTTTACAGTGATTTTTTGTTTCAAAACAATTATTGTATAATGTACCATTGCTTTTCTTTCTCTTTTGTGCAATAAACTTTTATGTTCTTTTGTTAAAAGTCCATTGGCAACTTCCAGTGACTCATCCCTCACACCCCGTCCACGCAATAAGAACCAAAAAAGAATCCCCCTCGTCCTCACATACCACCCCACCAACCTCCGGATCCAATGCATCATCCTCCGACACATCCGCCATCTGCAATCTGACCGCACCACCAAAGACATCTTTCCCTCCCCACCCTTATCTGCTTTCCAGAGGGACCACTCTCTCCGTGACTCCCTTGTCCGCTCCACACTCCCCTCCAGCCCCACCACACCCGGCACTTTTCCCTGCAACCGCAGGAAGTGCTACACCTGCCCCCATCCCAGGCCCCAAGAAGACTTTCCACATCAAGCAGATGTTCACCTGCACATCTGCCAATGTGGTATACTGCATCCGCTGTACCCGTTGTGGCCTCCTCTACATCGGGGAAACCAAGCGGAGGCTCGGGGACCGCTTTGCAGAACACCTACGCTCGGTTCGCAATAAACAACTGCACCTCCCAGTCGTGAACCATTTCAACTCCCTCTCCCATTCCTCAGACGACATGTCCATCCTGGGCCTCCTGCAGTGCCACAACGATGCCATCCAAAGGTTGCAGGAACAGCAACTCATATTCCGCTTGGGAACCCTGCAGCCCAATGGTATCAATGTGGATTTCACAAGCTTCAAAATCTCCCCTCCCCCTACCGCATCCCAAAACCAGCCCAGCCCGTCCCCGCCTCCCTAACCTGTCCTTCCTCCCTCCTCTCCCCTCCTCCCACCTCAAGCCGCACCCCCATTTCCGACCTACTAACCTCATCCCACCCCCTTGACCTGTCCGTCCTCCCTGGACTGACCTATCTCCTCCCTACCTCCCCACCTACACTCACCTTTACTGGCTCCATCCCCACCTCTTTGACCTGTCTGTCTCCTCTCCACCTATCTTCTCCTCTATCCATCTTCTATCCACCTCCCCCTCTCTCCCTATTTATTTCAGAACCCCCTTCCCCTCCCCCATTTCTGATGAAGGGTCTAGGCCCGAAACGTCAGCCTTTTTGCTCCTATGGTGCTGCTTGGCCTGCTGTGTTCATCCAGCTCTGCACCTTGTTGTCTGAGGAGAGATTAGATCGGTTATTCACTGAAATTTAGAAGCCTGAACTGGGAGTGGATGAGGCAGAGCAAATGCAGAAAGAATGCTCTCAGTGACCAGGGAATCTAGAACCAGGGGTCACACTCCAAGGATATGGGCCATTTAGGACTGAGATGAGGAGACATTTCTTCACCCAGGGAGTGGTGAGCCTGTGGAAATGGCTACCACAGAAGCAGTTGAGGCCAAACATTGCACGATTTCAAGTAGGACTTGGATGTAGCCCATAGGGTTTAAGGGTATGGGGCAAGAGCAGGTACAGGCTTTTGAATTGGATAACCAGCCCTAATCATATTGACTGGCAGGCTGGAAGGATTTGCAGATTGATACTCAGCCTGACTGGCTGTATTCGAAACAGACCTTGCTTGACCATTGAGCCAAGCAGGACTTGAACACAAAGTCTCTGGCTCACAGGCTGGGACACAACTGCTGTACCATGAGGGTGAGCTCCAGAGACACAGAGTTTGTGCTGTCTGTGGGTAAAAGTAGTTGGGCTTTGATATCGTGGGAAATGACATCAAACAATCATCAATCTCACTCGCCAAACTATGAGTGACCTTCTCCATAGAACCATAAGAAATATGAACAGTAGTAGGCCATTTGGCCCCTCAAGCCTGCTCTGCCATTCAATAGGATCATGGCTGATCTGAGATTCCTTACATCCACTTTCCTGCCCTTTCCCTGTAACCCTTGATTCTGCAACTGATCAAGAATCTATCTATCACAGCCTTAAATACCCAAAGGACTCTACCCCCACAGCTCTCTGTGGCAAGGAGTTCCAAAGACTCACAACTCTTTGAGGGAAGAAATTCATCCTCATCTCAGTCTTAAATTGGGGCCCCTTTATTTTGAGACTATGCCCTCTGGTCCTAGACTCTCCCATGAGAGTCTCAGCATTTTCCCTGTCAAATCCTTAAGAATTCTATGTGTTTCAATGAGATCACCTCTCATTCTTCTAAACTCCAGTGAGTAGAGTCCCAACCTCTTTAACCTTTGCTCATAAGACAGTCCCTCCATACCAGGGATCATCCTAGTGAATCTTCTCTGAAATACTTCCAATAAAATGGCATTTCTTTCCTAAATAGGGGACCAAAATTACTCACAGTACTCCAGATGTGGTCTCACTAGTATCTTGTACAGTTGCAGTAAGACTTTCCTACTCTTTTACTCTAATCCCCTTGAAATGAGGGCCAACATTCCATTAGCCTTCCTGATTCCCTGCTGCCCCTGCGGGCCTGCTTTCTGTCTTTCATGTACAAGTTCTCCCCAAGTCCCTTTGTGTTGCAGCTTTCTCCATTTAAATAATACTTCCTGCTTTAGAAACAGCAGTTCTCTTCTGAAAGATGAGAGGGACAGGGTGGTTTATTGAGGGCTTACCTGGGCAGGCTCAGGTGCACTGACGAACAGGAGGATGCCATCTACCCTTGGATTAACATTGAATAAGATGGTGGCTGAGCTTGCAGTGGTCTCAATCCCACCTTCCTGTCTGCACTCCCTTCTCATAAGAACACAAGAACTAACGGTCTGTCTATGGAAAACCTAATTGAATGACCCAGCCACCACTACCTTCTGGGAAAGAGAACTCCACTCTCTAACCACCCTCTGAGGGAGACATTGGAAGGGAGTCAAAAACAGAAATAACTGGGAAAACTCAGCAGCTGTTTTTTTCTTTCTGATTTCCAGCATCCACAGTTCCTTGTTAAGTGGAAGGGAGACGTTCTCCTCTTGAGGGTGTCTCCTAATTCTGGTTCTCCCCAACATGGGGAATGGGTGTTGAGCTCCTCGGGACCCGGTCAGGGATTTCTGTCCTTCAATGGGCAGAATCAAGTGTATGTGTATGTGTGTGTGTGTTGGGGGTGGTGGTATCATCAAAGAGATTCCCAGGTTAATGCGGGCTAGGTGCTGGTAGCTCATTGAGGCAGAACTTGAGGAAGCAGTAGCAGCAATGGGCCAGAGTGGGGTCTCTGGGAGAGGAACTAAAAAGATGCCAAAAACAACAAATGCTGGAGATCACAGGCAACACCAATGGAGAGGGAGAGCAAGCTAATGTTTCGAGTCTAGATGACTCTTCATCAGTAAAGATGGTTTAACAAAGTGGAAGCATCCAGTTCTTCATTTTCAACACGTTTTCGTTTTAATTTTAAAAAAAACACTTTAACTTGCAGCAGGATGCGAAAGAAGCCAAACTTCTTGTAGTTGAGGGACTACAGTCCCTTTCATTTCATTTTAAGTTTTCACCTTGAAATCTTTTCCTGGAGAAGCGGTGAGTCACATTCCACGCAGCAAGAGAAAGGAACAAGTCTCTGTAGTTGCAGTCTTGCCGTGGGCTCGCTCAGTCAGCTCTACGATCATCAGTTTGCAAAGGAGCATGAGAAATGCAAAAAGCGCGGCTAGCCTCTCCAGGACGCTGTAAGTCTCCTCCAGAGCTCAGTTTGCTGCAGGACTTTCTGAGATCTCCTGGCCATTCCAGTTGGTTGCAGATTGAGCAGCTGCAGTCCCAGGGCTCTCCATCTCCAGGCTGACCTTCCATGTGGTGTCCGGAGGGTGTTTAGGGTTAGGACTGGTTGGTACGATGGGGGACGCCTGTACTGAACCCTGGCTGGGGCTGAGAAACCTGAGCTGTAGCTTCTGGGACTATGACACCGCCCTCTCGGACAGCCAGGATTTCACGGCGGACCGGGGTTTCGAGGTGGCTCGGACCGTGGTGGGGGCAGCTCTGGTCGGCATCATGCTGGTGTGTGGGCTCGGTAACTTGCTGTTTATTGTGAGCCTGGCTCGCTGTAGGCAGCGCCGCAGTCTGACCAGCCTCCTGCTCGCTAACCTGGCCGTCTCTGACCTGCTGGTGGCTGTACTCTGCTGCCCCTTCGAGATGGATTACTACGTGATCAAGCAGCTGTCCTGGGAGCACGGCCACACTCTGTGCGCCTCGGTCAACTACCTCCGCACCGCCTCCCTGTCTGTGTCCACCAACGCCCTGCTGGCCATCGCCATCGACCGGTAAGTGAGGGGCTTCGGTTAACTCGGGACATACTCACAGGCACACACACACACACACACACACAGGGACACACACACACACACACAGGGACACACACACAGGGACACACAGACAGATACAGGTACACACACACACACACACAGGGACACACACACAGGGACACACAGAGAGATACAGGTACACACACACACAGGGACACACACACACAGACACACAGGGACACACAGACAGATACAGGCACACA